AACGTGTGTCACTTAGCTTTTTTTGGCATGGACACAGAGAGGCCTTTCTCATCAAGCGTGTCTTTAAGATTCTTGTAGCGCAGAGTTGAGCCACTAAAAAATGTATAAAGAGCTTGTTCAAAATTTAAAAAAACTTTACAGCCTTTACTACTCGCATTTGCAGCATCCTTTCCAAAAGGTTTAATGAATGTCCAAAACAAGGTATATACTTAGCATATTTATTCAGGTTAACAATTTTTGCTTGCATATCCTTGTAGTGGCCAGACATGTTGCTTGCATTGTCATAACTTTGTTTATGGCACTCTTGTATGGTAAGTCCAACACTATTAAGAAATGCTAGGATTGCATCTGCCATTTCTTGTCCTTTAAGCTCTGTTGAGTGTAAAAAAAGTTACAAAACGCTCCACAGATTGAGTTCCTTCTAGTATCGAAAAATCACTTTGAGTTGGTCAGTATGAGAAGAATCTTCTGCTGAATCAACAGAAACTGAGTAGTACTTTGCCATCTTAATACAGTTGATGACAACTAAGATCTTATCCCCGTTAATTTGTATGAGTTCCTCAAAGACATTTGCTGAGAAATAACTTGTACATGCTTTGCCTTTGTTCGCCTTTATTTGGATGTGTTGTGCTAGGAAAGCATCATACTCTGTCAGTAATTCTAAAATACAGAGATAGTTGTGTGGGGATCCAATAGTCTGATCATCACCTCTAAAAGCCAATCCTCTCTCAGCAAGAAAAGTGATGTCACTCAGCAAATGTTTTATTAGGTTTTGCCTAAAGGTGGTCGGCTCTTCAATCTGTTGTTGCATGTTATAGTCAACCTGTCCTTCCAGTTTTGAAAATTTGGCTGTATCAGTCACAGCGCGAATATGGTTTTGAGACTGCTCATGGGATGAAATTCGTTCACTGACATGTTTCCAGTCACTGAAGCCATCATTGGAAAATGCATTTGTTGATGAACTAAATAATTTGAATTCAAAATAGTACATTCAGCATCTGTTATTTGAGTAACAAAGCCACTTCCGTTCAACTTTGTCCCCGTTGGGACAGTTACGAAAAAACATCTCTACAGTACAGCAACGTCCATCTTTAAGTGATTTTGGAATTCCTTCATTGCGCAGTTGTTCTAGAGGTTTGCTCACTTATGAATTTCCATTTTTGGACCAATACTCCCGCATCTCCAGAGTAGATGAGTTGGGCCACATACCAATGTTAGCACGGCAACGCTCCAAATCTCGCGAGAGTGAACTCTAACCCAGGAGCGCGGGCTAGAGTTCACTCTAACCACTGGGCCACCAGGGAATCCCCACCAGGGACTAAGAAATATATTTATTTTAATTAAATAAATAAAAAAAAAGTATGTTATAAACCCCCCCAGCCTTATCACACACACTCACATTGCCCCTCCCCTCACACACATATACTGCCCCCCCATACACACTCTGTCCCCTATACACACTGCCCCAGACACACATACACTGCCCCCCCATACACACTCTGCCCCCACACACACACTGCCCCCACACTGCCCCACACACACTGCCCCACACACACACACTGCCCCCACATACACTGCCCCAGACACACATACACTGCCCCAGACACAGATGCACCCCCAGACATACACACTGCCCCACATACAGACACTGCCCCCACACACATACACTGCCCCCATACACACACTGCCCCAGACATACACTGCCCCCATACACATACACTGCCCCCCATACACACACACTGCCCCACACACATACACTGCCCCATACACACATACACTGCCCCACACACACACACACACACACTGCCCCCCCCACACACACACACTGCCCCCACACACACTGCCCCAGACACACATACACATACACTGCCCTACACACACACATACACTGCCCCCCCACACACACCCCCACACAAACCCCCCCCCCACACACACACTGCCCCATACACACACACACAGCCCCCCACACATACACTGTCCCCACATACACACATTGCCCCCACACACACTCTAATGTGGCCGTTACTCCGCCTCTGCGTGACATAACGGGACACACATACGCGGTAGTAAAGGGTCGGATGGATGAGTACGCCGCCATCAGGGGGTGACAACCATGACGATTGTCACGGGCCCGGCTGTCCTGCGGGCCCCACATTCTCTCTCTCCACATATATTCAGCGATGATCGCAATATATATGTGCAGCCGCGGGCCCCCGGCTCCCTGTATTTGCAGGGGGGGGCCAGCAGACTTCAGCAGTACTTTAAAGCATTTCCCTCTCTCTAACACCCACGAGACGTGCAGCCGTCAGAGCGTTCTCACGGGTTACCATTGCATCTCTCCGCGTGACACGCACAACATGCTCGCGGGAGTTAGAGAGAGGGAAGAGCTGTAATGTACAGATGCAGTCTGCTGGGCTCCCTCTGCAAATATCAGGAAGTACAGAGCAAGCTAATACCGGAGAAAGCAGAGATAAAATAACAGTATTATTTACTTACATACCTCTGACAGATGTCACACTGCATTGGAGGCTGGTGAGCTGACCTGGGACACTGCTGCTCTGGGCTTTGAATTTTTATTTTTTAACTGTTTTGGAATAAAGTCTGTTTTAATGAAAAGTCCGGCTACAAGTTTATTTATTGGATCCTGCGTATACTAGTTTTTGATCCTCCCTGAGCTTTATAGTCTGGAGTGGTACTTCAACCACTCCATATTTGTGAGTTTAAATTATTGGGTTTATTTTATTTTGTAACGGCACCCCCAGGCATAAAAGGGGTTAAAAGCCGTTTAGTAGATCTTCCCCTTCCAGAGATACAGGCACAGCTACTGCAGAACACCAAACTCCCGAACTGCATACAAGGGAATGCACCTAACTCCCAAACTGCATACAAGGGAATGCTCCAAACTCTTGAACTGCATTCAAGGGAATGCTTCAAACTCCCGAACTGCATACAAAGTAGCACTCCAAACTCCCGAACTGGAACCTCACGAATAGCTGCTAGCAGAGGAACAGGAAAAGCACCCAAGCGGCTTACACTCCTGGCAATCAGTCTCTAACAGCATACAGTAAATCCCCCCAAAGACGAGACAGAACTCCGTGTTGAGGGTCAAGCACTGGTCTGGTTTAATGAGGGCTACCTGCCCAGTATTTATGCAGGTCTCCCACCTGGTGGACACTCCGCTAGGGGACCAAATGGGAGACTGTGACAAAGGACAGACGTGAACCAATGACAGACACACAGAGGTAAAACATCCCCACAATGCATCCTAACTTCCCTCCCTCTGTCCTGGAGATAATTGGGAAGTAATCCAATTATCTCCCAGGACAGAGGCAAAACTCCATTAACCACATGGCAGTAAAAGACAGTAATAGACATAAAAATGTATAAAGTTACAACTGTTGCACAAAACATATACATTCTACCTATCCCCAGATAGCTTAGATCTGAGCGCACAAAAGTACCGAATAGCGTTTAGATCCTATGCACACAGTCCAATCGTCGTGGAGTTAAAGTGTTCACAAAGTCTGTTCTCCATACGAATAGACTCCACGGGATGGCTATCTGGGGTAATGCTGTTCATATGGTTTAAACTACCGAATGAACAGGCATCCGGTTAAATAAGCCTTTTCTGCAGGGGAAAAGAAGGCTTTTAACATGGGGCCATAGTCCAAAGGCAACAGGTGAGCAACCAGGCTTCTCCAATGCAATGTGGCGAGATTGGTCTCGTCACATATTTCATATATTATGTCCAGACAATATTGCACTAGCGTAACCTAATCATCCTCACCTTGTGGTATTAGCGCTCAGAAGCCATGCATCTATGTACCTGACTCCTGCAACATGTTAATGGACGCCGGCCGCTGTGGATCTACGCCAAATTATAGCCCCACATCCGTCCACGTTGATGACATCACACGGGAGACGCGCACGCATGTTCTGGGGAATGTGTTTCTGAGTGTATTTTCTGGTTAATGATTTTGGCATCGTTTGACTTCCCTGTATTCTGGTATCCCTGACTTTTGGCTTTCCCTCATCGTTGTGTCTCCTTCTGTGTACCTGACCTCTGCTAGTATTCTGACTATTCTTGGATACGTTTAGTCCGGCCATTCTAAGGCCCGGTAAGATGTTACCTTTTAGTCTTAGGTGTGACACAATTCCACGTGCTGGATCAACTTGTAATCCTGACAACTATGTGTTCTTCTGTAAAAAAAAATTAGATTCTACTTACTGTGGACTTACTCATATTTGCAAGTATTATCTTGTGTATTTAGATTTTACCACAAAATCACTGGTTCAATTTAGTGTTTTAGACACTTATAGCACACTCTGATTGGGCACTTATCTACTAAATAGTGATCACTGTCAGGTTGTACTTTCTGATCTCCACTTGAAAAAGTCTAAGGTCGAAAAACACGTGGTGGTTTTTAATATAACAGTATTCTTTTAATGCAGGTAATTTGACCACTTTCTGTTTGCGAGTTAGCCATTTTACTTTTTTAATATAATTTTTATATACTTTTTTTATTGCTATTATCACCATCCTTTTTACCTGGTAGCAGATGTTTTTAACTTTCTAGTGAGGATATTACTCCAAAGAATCCTAGGTGGGGATTATACCACTCAGGCTGTATTCATTAAGCAGTCTGCTCAATAAAATGTGAGTAACCAATTGTTATTTTTATATTTTAAGCACTATTGCTGTTTCTTTTATTTATTTTTTATATGGTTCCTAAATTAAGCAAAACTTCATAGACTTCACGTATCCTATAAGTGGGGATTGTACCACTATCAACACTAGAGCTAAGTAGATAGCTCCATTAACGTGAGTAGGACCATATTTCTGACATACTGCACAATCAGTTGTAATTTTTATCTATTTTATATGAACTTCAAGGATTTATTTAAATCACATTGAGGAATACACCTACTATCAAGATTGTACCATCTTCCATAGACAGGTTTTCATTTTGGATTTTCAGTTGTTTTCCAAATAACACGTGCTCTGAAAAATGGCGGCCATCTTGTCTCCCGAATGTGGGCAGTGGTACTTGGTTGTCGAGTCTCTGGAATTCAAAGAAGTATACATCAACTTGCGAACCTCGGTGACTTTGTACCGATGCCTGCTTCCGTTCCCGACAAGACAGGGGAGAGCTACGAGCCAGGGGGAAACAAACATTAGTTTGTTTTTGTATAAGAACTCCCGAAAGGTGACTGGCAAAAGCACCAAACGCCCTGGAACTGTTTTGGGCATGGGACAATTTTTACCCAGGTGGTGATTCAACTATTTTGTACCTCTAGTGCCTGAGAGATAATTAGTGTAAACTAAAGCAACCTTACTTATCTCACAGGCACAGAGAAGCCTGGACGGGCTTACCATTGTAATAAATAGAGACCCCATGCTGGCGGTCTGTATATATAAATAGGCCACTTGACACTAATAAAACAGTTCATCTTGTACACATCATCAAGTCTTGGCTGATGTTTGGGTACACCAGAGTTATAATCACTGCTTTATTTCGGGACCTGGGAGACTCTTCAACGGATATTCTCAGTCGGAGTTCGGGGTATCCGTTACACACAGATACATCTATCCACAAACGCACACACCACACTGAGTTAGATATACACACAGATACACTTATGAACATATATGTGCACACAGTCAGATATATACACACAGAATCAAAAAATAATTTAGTCAGAACATGCATATTCTTAGCCACCGTTCCCATAGCTTTTTGGTGCAGAATGAATGCTTCTCTGGAGGTTGGGGCTGGGGTTGAAGCTGGCTGATGTTGATAGGAGTAGGATGCCAGGGCAGGGGATTCAGTCTTCTCTACTCCATCGGTTTCTTCTCAATACTCCTCAACTTGCGCAGCTCTCTAGGTGATGGGAGGAAGCAAACCATTGTGCAAGATAACTGCAAAACTGCAAAAAGTAAGATACATTTTTTATGTATGTAAAATAAGATGAGGGAGTAGCGTCTTGATATATTTTTCTGAGATGCATTCTCAAAGGTAGTACAATATGCAAAATATAGTGTAGTATGACCTGCACACATGAAAATATAAGAAGTGAAAATACTAATTTTAGAGCTAGGATAGCTCTATTTAGATGATCATCGGCCTAGGATTACTCAGTGTCTTCTTTTATTAAAGTACTTCTGTGCAAATGACCGGGTCTTTCAAAATACTTTTAAAAGAGCCTTGGTGACGGTGAAACCCATTAAGTGTCTATTACTGCTTTGAACTGCTTTTATTATTTCATTAACTTTATATACAAGTTTATTTAATAAAGTAGTTAATTTTAATACACCTTTGGACTTCATCCTGAATTCTCTATTGGGGCCTGCACACACATTCCTTTGGTGGTGAAAATACCACCTGGGCACTTAATAATATTTTCTAGTCTATATAAATCTATCTGGTAATATTTAATATGATTGTATATTCACATTACAGAGCTTCCACCATGATTTTTTTCTACTTTTGTTTTCTCTTTTTGTATATGAAATAACAGTACTGTGTAAATTGAATCCCCATTTCATATATTCATTACATATAATCAATGAGGCTCAAAGGAATGACACATCTTGCTAGATAAATTTAATTTTCTAGATCTGGAATGCCCTCTAGAGGATCTATACCATTACTGCTGACATCATTTTACATATTTTTTATTTTTTTTATTAATGTATTATATATTGCAGTATTTCTATAATGCATAGTATTTTTTTTGCAGTACCTCTATGTAATAAATTTTGAAATGATTTCTTTTAGTTTTTTTATTTTTAAATTTTTATTTGAATAGCACCACCACCAGCCTGAACTATTGAAATAAGGCAGGTATGATGCACAAGCTTTATACCAAATTCTTGCATTATCTGCATCTCACAGCAGAAAGTGGGATCAGTCTAACCAATTTTACAATTTTCTGCTGTTACGTTTTTATGAAATGGTGCTCATTTTGACCTTAGTTTCCTGTTCTTAAAACACCATTTGGTCTTCTTTAGAGGTAGCACATGTACATCAAGATTTTTTGTGTTTAGTGTTTTTAGCACTATTGTCACCCTGCTCTTACCCATTAGCAATGGGTGGGCACAGTGGCGTACACATGACCCATGGGGCCCCGGTGCGAAAATTGATCCGTGGGCCCCCCTACGCTTACTCGGAGCGGGTCGGGGCCGCAACACATGGCGGCGGGCACCTGGTCGCAGGGGTTGCAGGGCTGCGACCCCGCGAGCGCTGTATGCACACACACTTAAAGGACCACTACAGACACCCAGATCACATCAGCTCAATGAAGTGGTCTGGGTGCCAGGTCCCTCTAGTTTTAACCACTCAGTAACAGACACACACAGTAACACACTCACTAGCAGACACACACCCAATAACAGACACACTCACTGACACATACACTAACACACTAACACAAACATACTAACACACACACAAACACACAAACACTAACACACACACACTAACACACAAACACACACTAACACACACACACACACACTAACACACAAACACACACTAACAGACACACAAACACACACTAACAGACACACTAACACACACTAACAGACACACTAACACACACACACACACACACTAACACACACACACACACACACACACACACTAACAGACACACACACTAACAGACACACAAAGACACACTAACACACACACACTAACACACACTTTTTTTTTTTAATTTAATCCCCCAAGCCTCCTTACCTTTTGGAGTGCTGGGGGGATTCCCTGGGGTCCAGTGGTGTTGCTGGGCGGGCTGGCTGTCTGGGTGGCTGGCGCGCGAGGGAGCACTCTCCCCTGTGTGCTTCCTCTTCAGCTCCCTCGCGCGCCGCATAGGGATGCCGGCGCCGGAAGATGACATCATCTTCCGGCTCCGGTATCAGTGCGGTGCGCAGGGGAGCTGAAGAGGAAGCACACAGGGGAGAGTGCTTCCTCGCACGCCGGCCACCCAGACAGCCAGCAAGCCCGTCCGCCCACCGGGGTCAGCAGGGCAAGCCTCGGGGGGGCCCTGAGGTGGCCGCCGCCTGGGCCCCCCAGGAGAAGAGGCTGGCCCTGTGGGTACATACTGGGTCGGGTCTGGTGGGCCGGGCCCGGTCGCAGCCGCGACCCCTGCGACCCTGGTATGTACGCCACTGGGTGGGCACTATTAAATGAGTAATAAATCAGGGAATATGCAATTGTCACTCCTTGCCCTCCACCCATAGGTATCAATATTAGTATGGAAATAAAGAGGTGGACATTCCATAGTCCACAACCCTTGACTTAAAGGAACATGCAAATACAATAACAACTATTGTTACATAGTTACATAATTGCATAGGATAAAGAGAGACATGTCTTCATCAAGTTCAGACTTTCTCACATCTATTTTTGCTGTTGATCCAAAGAAAGCAAAAACCCAAATTGAAGTGCTTTTCAATTTTCATTCATGCGTGCATACATGTTACAAGATGTGCACAGAGTCAAACTTTCAATCTTGCTAACACTTATTTCCCCAGATAGCAAAAATAAACAAAAAAACACAAATATACAGGACAGTAAAACAATATTTGACTTGTTAATTGAATTTTTTTGAACTCCCACTTAAAAGAGAGTACAATTGAGTAAAAGTACAAGTGAGCAAGCTTAGTGGATCAGCTTTGGGTTTATATAGGTATATATAAAAAAACCCACACGGGGGAAATTAAGGGTCCACTACCCTAATTAACTAAGTAGCAACACCCAGGACCAAAATAAAAAAATGCATAATGCAGAATGACAGTCAGATCTCTCCTTGGATCAAGATGTTACCACACAATTAAAAATAATATGTCTGCATATCATGTTTTTGCAAGAATTTATTCAGTTGCTGTTCCAGAAGTTTGGTGCTTAAGGGGTTAAACATCTGTACAGACTCTGATATAACAACATCTTCAGGCAGAGAGTTTCTTCATAACTAAAATATTCCATTATTTTTATTAATTTTGTAGTACCACATCTGCACTTTTTCTAGTGCATTAATATCCTTCTTTAGCATTGCACAACATATTCAATGTGTGGTCTTACTATTGATTTATAAAGAGGCAAAACTACATTTTCATCCTGAGAATGCCCATTATTATACATGGCAATATATTTCTGGCTTTAGCAACTGCAACACCTTGCCTTGAGTTATCCTATCACATGTTTTCTGCAGCAATCATTTACATATCTCTTGCCATAGGTTCCTCCTCAATATTTACTGTGTAAAAATAGTAATTTTAAATGTCTGCCCTTTCCTGGACTTTATTAACTAACACATACATCTCTGTTTTCAGTACACCTACGCTTTCATTTTTAAATTCTTTTTTTTTTTAAATATATGTACTGAAAAAAAATGTTTTGGGGTTGTGCATGTTCCTGTTGGCTATCACATACTCGTTTTCTAATTTAGACAATCTAATCTCCCTATTGCATGCATTATTGGCTTCTTTATGTTATATAAGGTTAACAAATTTAAACCTATTTAGATTAGAAAAACGTCGCCTGAGAGGGGATATGATAACATTATACAAATATATTCGGGGCCAATACAAACCATTGTGTGGAAATCTATTCACAAACAGGACTTCACATAGGACACAAGGTCATGCGTTTAGACAGGAAGAAAGAAGATTTCGTCTAAGCAAAGGAAAGGTTTACTGTAAGAACAATAAGGATGTGGAATTCTCTGCCTGAATAAGTGGTTTTATCAGAGTACATACAGATATTCAAACAGCTACTAGATGCATACTTGCAAAAAGAGAATATTCAAGGATATAATCTTTCAATGTAGGGTAATAACTGCTTGATCCAAGGATAAATCTGACTGCCATTCTGGGGTCAAGAAGGATTTTTTTCCTAGCTTGTTGCAAAATTTGAAGTGCCTTCTTTTGGATCAAGCGCAAAAAACAAATTTGAGGAAGGCTGAACTTGATGGATGCAAGTCTCTTTTCAGCTATGTAACTATGTAACTATGATGCCTCTGAATTGTCTCATTTAAATGCGTAAAAATGCCCTTTTGTTATTTTTAATCTGTTGGTTTACTTTCCCACTAAGCCACATTGGTTTCAATTTGTTTCTTTTATAGATATTATGCAATGGTACATGCTGAGAAATGTACCTTTCTAATATTTGTTTGAATATATTCAATTTATCCTCAGTGTTTTTTTCATTGAAGAGTTCATGCCAATTAATATGTTGTGAAGCTGCCTTTATCTTATAGGAATAGGCATTTTAAAAATTACATGTTTTAGTATATCCCATGTGCTTTTACTTTTTTGAGTTTATTTCAAAAGACACCATATGGAGATCACTATTTCCCAAGTGCATCCCTACTTGAATGTTTGTCAAAAGATCAACATTGCTTGTTATAATTAGGTCTTTTCTAGCTGGCTAATGCAACAGTTGGGACATGAAAGTGTTATTTAACAGGTTGAAAAAAAAAAGATTCCCTTTGCTAAATACTAGTCCCTCTATCTTAATTTATGTCCAGGTAATTAAAACCTCCAGTAATTAATGTGTCATCCTGATATGCAGCTTTTGTAATTTGTTGTAACAGCTGTTCTTCCTCATAAATATTAACATTAGGTGACAAAAAAAGGGTTACTGCCAAAGAACACCCCAATATGTGTTCAGCAACTTCTCCTGAGTACAGTGATGCCACCCATGTATAGGTGTGTCGGGCTCTCTAAAAGACCTAATTTAGAGGGTGCGCATTCCAGTTTTCCAACTTGTAATTTTCACAGCTGGTCATCATGCACCCATGTCCTATTTTGGACATTTTTGAAGCCGGCCAGTGTAATTTACCCTCATCAAACCGTATATTTTTGAAATGTAGACACCCTAGGGTATATCCAGTGGTGGTATTTTAACACTTTCCATGCACTAATTCTACCACCAGTCTTTGTCAAACTTTTGGGTAGTCATTTTGTTTGTTATTTTTCTCTCACATTGTACTTTAGGCATGGATTCTCAGTTCCTGTTATGTGTTACTGACAAAGAAAACCCCAATATGTGTTCAGCAACATCTCCCGAGTACAACAGTGCCCCCAATGTTCAGGTTTTATGGGTTTTTGCAAACTTACAGGGGTCAAATGTATGGCTTACCCCTTTTCCATGATTGCACATTGAAATTTGCCAGATTGGTTTGCTGGGACTACGTTGCCTTTGAGACCGTATAGCAGCCCAGGAAAATGAAAATTAACCCCATCATGGCATACCATTTGTAAACGTAGACAACCCAGGGTATTCAAAATGGGGTATTTCCAGTCTTTTGTAACAGCCACTTAGTCACAAATGCTGGCCAAAGTAAGTGTTTTTGTGAGTTTTTTGCATTTTTTACACAATAACTGCACTTTTACTGGTGATTTCATCATCTTGATACTTTTTTACGGTTTTAAACACTCAGATTTGTGTTCAACGAAGTCTCCTGAGTTTAACAATAGCCCCCATGTACAGGGTTTATGGTGTTTTGGAAAGTTACAGGGTCAATATAGGGCTTACCCTGTTCAGTTTGCCAGATTGGTTTGCTGGGTCTGTGTTGCCTTTTGAGACCATATGGTAGCCCAGGAATGTGAAATAACCCCATCATGGCACACCATTCTCAAATGTAGACAACCCAGGGTATTCAAAATGTGGTATTTCCAGTCTTTTGCAGTAGCCACTTAGTCACAAACGCTGGCCAAAGTTAGCCTTTTTTGTTGTTGTTTTTTATAAAAAAAACCTTTTCATTTATATTATATATATACACAAACCCACACACACATATAATACGTGTGTGTATGTATGTATATATATATATATATATATGTATATATATATACACATACACATTTAAATATAATACATAAATATATATACACAGACACACACTTTTATTTCCTAAATATGCATAATAGATTATAATTAAAGCATTTTATAATATATTATACATACAGTATATACTCGAGTATAAGTCTAGTTTTTCAGCACATTTTTTGTGCTTAAAAACCCCCACTCGACTTATACTCGAGTCACTGTCTGCATTATGGCAACTTAGAGAGCTGCGGCCGTCAGAGCCGTGGCAACGATCCGCGCGGCAACCAGACCGCGAGACTTACAGTGGAGCTGACCGGAACGGAGGAGAAGGGAGCTGACAGGAGCTGCAGGAAAGGTAAGTAAATGCTTCCTGCTGGCCCCCCCACTTCACAGCCCATGCCACTGGACCACCAGGGATTAAGATAGCCACCCTCCATGACCAGTTAACAAACAGGGAGGGGGGACAAAAAAAAATTAAAATAATAAAAAATAATAATATTAAAATAAAAAAAATTAAAATAATAAAAATGCCCTCCCCCCATCCAGTTCACACACACTGCACAAACACACACTCTGCATTATATACACACTCTGCATTATATACACAGAGTGTGTGTATATAATGCAGAGTGTGTGTGTGTATATAATGCAGTGTGTGTTGTATGAGTGTGTGCTGTATGAATGTGTGTTTGTATGAGTGTTTGTATATATAATGCAGAGTGTGTGTTTGTATGAGTGTGTGTGTATATAATTATAAAAATCACAGAATTTCATAGCCCCAAGTTTTACCCTCGACTTATCCACGAGGCATAGCATATTTCACAATTGTTGGTCACAAAACTGCACTCGACTTATACATGAGATCGACTTATACACGAGTATATACGGTATATAATGCATATATATGATTTCATTATAAGTGTTTTTTGAGATATAGGTGTATATATCTCAAAGTACACTTATAATGAAATTATATATATGCATTATATATGTATAATATATTATAAAATGCTTTAATTATAATATAATATATATATATATATATATATATGTGTGTGTATATATATATATATATATATATATATATACATATATATATATATATATATATATATATATATATATAAAATAAATAAATAATAGCACTCCCAGGACTTAATAAATATAGTGAAAAAATATACTTAGCTTTTATTAAATGACAGCCCCATGAAAAATCAACGTTTCAGTCCCTATGTGGAACTTTCGTCAGGATAAGGTGCAGTTCACACATCCACAAATATATAAAAAACAGATCTCAATTTAATTAGTACATTGTATTAAGCACAGCTGTAACTTACCAAACTCCCTCAGTGACCTTTAGGCAGGCCTTCTGCAGCTGAACTCTGCTGCTTGTATTTGCATTCCAACATGGAACACAACCCGGAAGTTGGTACGTTACCATAGTAACGTGCCGACTAAATCTAACTGGGCGGACGGGGCTCACTGGGAGAGAGAGAGAAAAAAAATACTCTAGATCTAACGCTAAAGAGAGCCCCCTAGGGGCCACTAAACATATATAAAACATAAGTACATCACACAGTATATTTGGAAGCTTGTTGGAAAAATTAAAAAATACCGATCTCAAATATGATCATTTTTCAAACAAATATACATAAAGGCTAGTCTTCAAAACAGATTTAAGTCAATCCTGGTAAGGGTTAACCCACATACATATATACATATGTGTGGAAGATGGAAAATAATGCCCCCTATCGGTTTTCTCACATGTAAGAGACTAAATGGGTAATTATTTAAAATTAATATCCCACTGTGGATTTGACACAATATTTAAAGGGTCCTATACCCTGGGCTCAATTATCTACCCCTATATTTATCCCATATTAGTTCTACCTTATTCAGAACTCAACTTTTAATTAATTTTTATATGTTAAATATATATATTTTGGCAGAATATCAATATTTATAACACAGGTAAATGCCCTCGTACCCTACCTATTTCAACTCTATATAATGGAACAAGATATTAATCCAATACGGAAAACTTTCACACCCATTATCTATACTTTCAAAAAATAGTATATACTTCCAATGTTCCGATCTTCTCCCTAGATTTTTAATGGCAGAAAGGCACTAATATAGGCCCAACTATACTGGAAAGTAAAACTAGATACTACATCAAAGACCCGAGATACTGTCAACCTCAGTCTGAGATGCTTTCTCCTCTTACTAAAAAATAAAGCTTGATACTGCATCGGAGATCTGAGATACTGACAACCTCAGTCTGAGATGCTATCTCATCATAGAAAAACCCCCAGAGTATATTTTTTATTCAATCCTCTGGGTTGCAATGTGTCTAAAGTTCTGATCCAGTATAGTTCCCTTCGTAGTAAGAGCTTCTTACGATCACCACCCCTCAGCGGTTGTGGAATATGATCAATCGCCAAAAACTTCATTGTGGGGAGAGGATGGTTAAATTCCAAAAAGTGTTTCGCAACCGGTAGTTCTGATCCTTTATCCCTGTATGCGATGCGTATACTCAATCGATAGTTCCGAATTTTTTCATGTAGTGGTAACTCAGTCTTCCACACATATGCCAAACCACAAGGACACCCCAATTTGTAGATGACATACTCACTTGTACAGGTGAGTCTGTGTCTTATTAGATATTTCTTCCCTGTATGAGGGTGAGTAAACGATTTGCTGGGAATCATATGACTACACGTCACACAGCCCAAGCATCTGTAACACCCCGCATTCTGGTAGGTAGTTGGTTGGCTATAACAATGAGTGGGATCAGTTTTAACCAGTAAATCCCTCAAATTGCTACCCCTTTGATAGCACATCATTGGGCGTTGTTTAAACTGTGATGGTAAACTGGTATCATTTTGTAATATTCTCCAATTTCTATCCACTGGTTGTTTAATGTTGTCCGATATGGTAGTGTACGTTACAGGAAAGACCAATCTTTCTCTTGTGTCTGTCCGTTGTACTGGTGTTTCATAACACCTGTCCAATGCTTTTGATAAATTTCTGGGGTTGTAACCCCGTGCAAGGAATTTGTCCCACATAGTTTGTAGCTGAATCTTTATATTTGCCACATTAGAATTGTTTCGAATTACCCTCATAAACTGTGATTGAGGAAGTGAATTGATAAGATGTCTTGGATGGTGGCTTTCAGCATGCAGGAGTGTATTCCTATCAGTTAATTTATTGAATAGGGTGTAGGCTATTTTGCCATCCTCCTTGTACACACGAACATCTAGAAAGTCAATCTGTTCCTCACTTGTAGTCATCGTGAGGCGAACTGACGTGTCCAAATTATTAATGATCTCAAGCATTTGGTTTGGAGTGGGTCCCACATTGTTCCAAATAATCATGATATCGTCGATAAAACGACGGTAAAACAATATACTTTCATGGAATTGTGAGAGGATATGTTCTTGTTTGAATATATACATATAACTATTAGCATACATTGGGGCCATGGCCGCCCCCATTGAAGTTCCCGCAATTTGTTTGTACCAGGTATGTTCAAATCTAAAATAGTTTTGACTAAGTACCAAATGTAATAACTCCAATACCAATTCAATCGGTGGTCCCACATATGATGTAGATGACATCAAGATCTTCCGCATTGCATTAATGCCCATGTCATGTGGTATAATCGTGCATAAGCTCTTTACATCATACGTTATAAAGGTGGTTCCCGGTTCCAATGTGGAAAATTCTCGTAATAACTTAAGTAAACTTGGAGTATCTTTAATACATGTAGGTAATTCCTCAATGGGTTTTTTAAACAAGTAGTCCAGCCATTTGGCTAACGGTTCGAGTGCTCCCCCCCCTATAGCTGACACAATAGGTCTTCCCGGAGGTGATGTTGGATTTTTATGAATTTTCAGCAACGTGTATATCACCGGTGTCCGTGGATTCCTTTGTAGTAAAAATTCATATAGATCCTTGGTAATATAAGAGGCTTCCAATCCTCGTTATAGGATCTGTTGAATATATATATATATATATATATATATATATACGTGTGTAATTTTACTCTAAGTGTATTTTTATATTAATATATGTATATATATATTAGTAAAAATATACACTTAGTATGATGTTATATATAAGATATATATTATATATATAATATATGTATAATATAACTCATATATACATGTATATCTATTTTTCTAATTTATAAACGTTATTTTATTTATTTTTAACTTTTTTTAAAAACTTTTTTCACCAGCAGGGGGATTGCCTGTCTGTTCAAGCAGTCCCCCTGCTGGCAGCACTATGGACACCTATTGCGTTTTTTGTTGGACATACCTGATACATCTGCGGTCGGCAAGGGGTTAAGTAGGCAGTGTTGAAATCTTGTCTAGCAATAAGCCGAGGCTGCTTTAGCAGGCCTCCATTCAGAATTCCAGTGCAGCGCACATATAGTAGGGGCTTTCCCCGGTTGCACAGGGTATGAACCCATAAGTGCTGGCCACAGCCCTGATAGAGAGCAAAAATCAATTCTCCAACAATTAAATTCCTTAAGCAGGACGTGCTGAAAATCCTGTCCAGCAGTTAACAGGGTCTGCCACAGCATGTCTCCATTCAGCAGTGCAGTGCACATCAAGTAGGGAACAAGAATAGGGTTGGGTAAAGTGCAGTGATATCTAGGTGCAGGCAAGCCACTGTAGAAGGTCACTCAAACCTTAAAACATACAATATAGAACCAAGAAGATACAGGGCGCCAAAATCACCAGATAAATAAACGAGGATAATAATAAAATGAATGTGGATAATACAGTTTATTTAATAATATGCACCAACACTGTGCAAATGGTTAAAAAATATATCTACATAAAAAGCCTTAATAGGCTAAAGACCCATAGGTACAGCAGCTCTAAATAACATGAAAAAGTGCTAAATGCTAAAGTGCTGACAGTGAAATAAAGTGGCAGAATGCAACTGTTGTTATTTAAGATCCATTATAGATGTCCCCATTCTATCTATATGTATCTATTTATTTATTTTTATGGACATAATATTTTTCTATGGATGTACTATTTGTCTCTATATTGCCATTATTTTTATTTGATCTTGGATTTCCTTGTATGTGACCTGTTCTGTATACATATACTGTATTCATTTCATTCATGTTATAAATGTTCATTCATGTTATAAATGTGCTTCTAGTGTTTTTTCATTCCCTTCCTGTTTTCAAATAGATCTTAGATATATCATCATTTCTCCTATATGTGCTATATGCAGAAGATTAAGAAGCTCCTGACGAAGTCTGAAGGACGAAACGCGTTGAGCAGCACTGGGGACCCTTTTGCTTTGGTATTAGCAGTTTCTGTTTTACATGATTTTTGCCTATGTGATCAGCTGTGGACATTATTAGTGTATACCAGCTTGAAGTGATGGGAGTTGCACTCTGCCACTTTATTTCACTGTCTGCACTTTAACATTTAGCACTTTTTCATGTTATTTAGAGCTGCTGTACCTATAGGTCTTTAGCCTATTAAGGCTTTTTATGTAGATATATTTTTTAACTATTTGCACAGTGTTGGTGCATATTATTAAATAAACTGTATTATCCACATTCATTTTATTATTATCCTCATTTATTTATCTGGTGATTTTGGTGCCCTACACATCAAGTAGGGGTCTCACCCCGGGGGCACAGAGTATGAACCCTTAAGTGGTGGTCATCCCTTGATAGAGAGCCTCCAACAGGTCTTCCAATAATTAATTCACTGTCAAGGGAAATATTATGTTTAGTAGTTAACAGAGGCTGCCATAGCCTGTCTCCCTTCAGCAGTATAGAGTGGCGGATTCATCCCAGGTGCAGATGGTATAACCCCTTCAAGTGTGGGTCACGGCCGTGATAGAGAGCACCAATCTGTATTCAAACAGTTGTTTAAAGGTCATGGGGAATATCATTTTAAGCTGTATGTCCTGGGAATCCTGTTCAGCAGCTGCAATAGCCTGACTCCATTTAGAAGGACAATGTAGTAACGACCTAGCCAGGGGTTAACCCCAGGTGTACAGGTGCCTCAACTCAAGAGTCCCTGTCTTGATAGAGAGTACTAATCCATGCTCTAACAGTTAATCTGAGGTTAATGGGAGGTATCCTTTTAAACATCCAATATAACTGAAGAAATTCAACATTAATGTGTAATTATACGGCACGGGCCTAAAATAGATCACTAATCTGTGCTCTAACAGTCAATCTGAGGTTAATGGGTGATATCCCATTAAATCTCTAATTTAATTGAAGTAATAAAACATTAACATGAAATTATAGTATAGAAGAACACTTACCTCTACCTGGATTTGAACTTGGGACCTTAGGCTTCAATGCCTGTGTCTGAGCTGCCTGAGCTGTGAGAGTAGCTAAGGCCAAGCTGGCAGCATCAGTATAAGTTACTCCTAAGCACCGCAGATGTAGCAAGATGGCTACCCTCAATCTTGCAAAACGCAATATTAAAGATGACCGCCACGGTTAATCGTGGTGCATCGGTGAAGCAACATGTCCACTCTCAATCTCGTGAGACGCGAGATGAAAGATGGCCACCTTGGCTCAATCGCAAGGAGCAGCAAGTCCGGCCAGGGCACCAAACTCAACAGTGCAGCGCGGCAGGTGGGAAAGGTCGTCGTCATGCCGGATTAACTAGAAAACCGGATGGAAGGGCAACAATAACTCGGGAGCCTGCAAAACCCCAGCAAGGCTCAAAGGTTGTTAAAGACCCAGAGCAAGGAAAGTAAGGAGGGGAGAAGGCCAAGCGCAAAGAATAAGGTATAATGTTAAAACAATATATACAAAAAAAAAACAGATGCCTATAGAATAGAAGCACAGCAAAACAAATAGCAAAGCCTAGAGAAATACAATCTCAAAAACAGTTCCAACTATGCAATAGAAATACAATAATGGAGAAGAGTAATACTCTGACCTGTCTGCTTGATGGAGCAGCAAAGAAAGAGGAAATGATTAGGTCACTATGCCTCATGTACACCCTACTCTCTTGTGATTTGTTCTTTTTTTCTATGTCTTTCTTTGCTGCTGAGGAGCTAGTAGAGAGAAATAATGCAAAATACGAAGCCTCCTGTCATGTTGTAAAATTAGTGCTCGATATGTCTAGTGGAGGTGATGAATCCAGTATCTATAATAATTATGTTCCCCCTGCCACTGCAGATGAAGCACTTTTATCTCTGGCCCAGGAGCTACATGATTATGAATATGGTGAATCTGAGAAATTAGAAAAGGATAATGTGGAGAGAACAGCCAGTAGCCATTTTTTTTCTTGCCTCCTACATCTTCTCCACCATTTACAAGTCTATTTGTATCTTCGATAGAATTAACTAATTCAAAGACAGTTGAAACATCTATGCTACACCTGCTACCACTAGCACAAGTAGCACCCACTGTAATTGTTATCCTCTGAAGCACTACCACCAATAATAATTGGTGCTGTATCAGATTCTGAGCAGGTGTCACCACCTAACACCACCTAACATGCCATATCAACCCCCTTAGGTTGGATGGCATGTATAGTGTTACGCAGCAAATTACACATAACATCTAGTATTTATTTCTCCACTTCTCTGAGTTTGCATTGGGAGGCCGGTGCAGTCAGTTAACAAGGCAGCCAGCTAGCAGTAGGGAGGATCGAGAGAGCTTTGAAAGTGTTTCCCACAAAAGCTTCTTTAGAGTTTCCAGCTTGGCATGGCCAGTCTTGTAGGAGCCCCCACACTAGAACTATGCCTCAACCAGCTGACATTTTAGATAGGAAGAAATAACATCATGGATGGGGAAACCTCACTCTACTCTCAGAGTCCCCACTGGCAGTGACTTATATGTTTTCCCAGCAGCCCATGACTGATAGTGATTGTGTATGTATCAGTGTGCTTGTCTGTAGTTAGCTTGTGTATTTCAGTAAGCTTGTCTATAGTGAGCGTGTGTGAGTTAAATAGTATATGTGTGTGTGCAGGGCCGGCGCTTCCTATAAGGCGAACTAGGCAGTCGCCTAGGGCGCCATATAGGAGGGGGCGCCCTGCGCCCCCATCGCCGGCCCTTTAAATTCTGCAGTCGCCTGAGCGCTCTATAGAGAGCACTCAGGCAGCTGCCGCACTGCCTCACCTCCCCTGCCCTTTAGCGTGGCCGAGCTCCGGGCTGAGTGTGCACTTCCTGTCAGTCCGGCCGGGTCGCGGACCGGAAAGGAGCTCGGCCACGCTAAAGGGCAGGGGAGGTGAGGAGAAGCTGATGGGAGGGAGGGAGAGGGGGGGAGAAGCTGATGGG